TTTTCCTTTTTATTAATAAATCAATGTGAAAATATTGAATAATTCTATTTTAAAATATGAATATTTTATATGCAGCTTTTAAAAGAGCTTACAATTTTGTATGTGTTTGTATAAATTATTTGATTAATGTGCCTCCTCTACCAAAAGCCCTGGGAGGGTCTGTTTTCTTTGCTATTGTACCCCAAAGCTTAGTACCGTGTTTGGCGTAGTGATACTCGAAAATTGGTACCAAAAAAACTAAGCATTTCCAGTAACAGCAATTATATTTTACAGAAATGATATGGTTAAAGTAACTCATTTGTTATTCTTGTCTTCTAGTTTCATTTAGTGACCTCTAAATGAGAACAGACACATCTTGGTTTCATTTAGTTTTATTTTTGTTTAACTTTTGACACTCATGATCATATTTGCTATGCTATTCCCTAGTCTTAATTACAGACAACCTTTATAGAATCCAAGATGATGATTTATGCCTGGGAGATCTTTTGACATGTATCTTAGTGGCTTGAGATGAAGAGTCAAAGTAATATGGGCCTTCTTGATTGGTTTGATAGGATACCATGACAATCATATTGTAATTCGGTGGTTCTGGGCTGCAGTGGAAAGATTCAACAATGAACAACGACTAAGGTTGTTACAGGTAGGATGCCATTAATTAATCTTTTTAATGTATTAATATAATTATTGTTGGAAGTGTATATTTTTAATAATTGCTAAGTATTTTCCATATATATATGCCATGTTTATCTGGAAATTTGGGATACACCATGTCTAGACTCTCCTGATTGCACGGTTATGTGACTCCATCACTATGCAGAACATGACCAGCCAAGTCAAAGCATTTCACGAGAGTTGTGAGGAAGTGCCAAGTCCAGTCCAAGAATCCCAGTAACAACATCTGCCTTCAGGACAGTTTGGTCCCTTTAGCAAGAGGCATGCAAGTTACCCACAGTGTAGGCCAGCATTTCTAGCAGAAAGAGATGATCTTCAATCCGTTAAGAAGGGCCCCAGTGCCTTGGTAAAGAGCCCTTTCTTTTCCTTCATCTAACTTTCCACAAACTTGAGAAAACAATGACATTCAAGAACACTGGGAAAACTAACTTGTTGTTTTTCTGTGGTGTTTATAGTCATCCAGGGCAATTGCTGGTTGGTTGCGGCTGAAGAAATATCAGACATGAAGAAGTCTCTCGGACACTCAGGCAGAGCCTTACAAGTAGCCTGGGTCTTAGCTCCTTTGGATTAAGGGTCTGGACCTCAAGCCCAGAAATTCTATTTTTTTAATTCTCCCTGAGTTTATGAGGGAATATGCTAAGTAGACTCAGGTTAATCGATACACACCCACTTTGTTCATCTATAATGGGAAGTATGCCTGGGTGCAGCTTCTGAGCTGGTCCGCTACAAACCCTGCACATCACCTTTCCCTGTATAATGCACTGCTCTGTCTTAGTATTCTTCTCCGGCTGTTTGTCAGAATTCTTGTGTTACAGTTACTGCATCCCTATAAAGTTTCGTCTTCCAGACTTTCCCACCAGCTCTTCCTCAGGAGCTCTGCACGTGAATAATGCGATGCATTTCCTGGCTGCTGGTCTCTGGCTTCACCTTCTCCTTCTGTTTTTGGGTTGCTAGTTTGTTACAGGCACATCCAGCATTCCCTACGAAGGATTTGCTTCTCTCCGAGGGAGTAACGGCCCAAGAAGATTCTGTGTGGAGAAATGGGGGAAAATCACTGCTCTTCCCAGGTAAAACAGAAAATAACATTTTTTTACTGTCACTGTGGTGTTTGGGGGAGACCTTACCTCATCTATGTATAGATTAATTACTGTTTTTATGTTAAAAATTTGAGAGAATGGAGAAAACTTTTAGAGTGAATTTCTCTCTGATTATCTTTCTAAATGAAAGGGAAAGAAAGATCTCTCTGGTGACACTTAAAATACATACATCTATATCTTAAAATAAAAAACACAGCAAAAGCAAAGCATTTATTGGTCATCATGCTGTGGTTTCTTATGACTGTGGCATAATCTAGTTGTTTCCAGAAATTCTAGTTGTAAGTTTATATTAATAACTGTTGAGAATCCCTTCACTAAAAATCACCATTGTGGTCTCTAAAGAATATTAAATCTTGCAAATGTGCTCTGTACCTCTTTAGCCTGTATCATACATGTCTTAATTCCACATTAATGCTCTCTGCACTGCATTCTCGTTCATAATTATATCACACATTTCCTTGAAGTGGAAACAAATTGCTTTGCTGTTGCTACTAATAAAAGCCTGAGACCGGTAAGGTAGTATTTGTGAAGAAAAAAGTGTTTGAGATTGAATGGAGATAGCTGGAGCTGGAGCAAAAGAAAAGAAGGGAGCAGATGAACAAAAGAGCAATGGAAAAAAATTCATCCTAGAATTCCTTTGTCTGGTCGGCAGTGATACTATAGAATTTTTGAGGTAAAAAGGACCTCAGATTGCCTCCAATTTTACTACTAATAAAACTATAACCTGGAGAGGTTAATTGATATTAGATACCCCAGGATACCAGCCTAAGTTTCTTAAAGTACAGATGACTTTGAGAAACCTGTTTATTAGTGATGTAAGGTGATAAAGATACCCAGGTGATACCAGGTACCCCAAGATGTCATCCTGGTTCTTTCGGTACAAGCAACTATGAGAAATCTGTTTTCAAGGCTTTCTTCTTAGCAATTACAAGTTCTTAAGAATTATATTCTTAGCATCAACAGATTAAGAAAAGGGGTGCTGAGAGCAGTGAATAGGGCGAGCCCAAGGGCTTGCCTGGCCTCGCCAGCTACCTGGCAGGCATCACAGGCCGTGAACAGAGGTGCTGCATCCGAACACCTAATGTCACCCGACACACTTCATGTTCCAAATGTCACTATTTAAAAGCTAGTTTATTTTATTTATGCTTGGATAATGGTATTTTCTTCCCTTCGACACATATTTGTATATCAAAAGCAGATTTAGACTGAGTAAGGCTTCACTCTTCTGAGAAACTCTTAAGAATTAGCGTCAAAGAAGCAGGAAAGGGCAGATTAATTGTGTCACCTTCTTGTTGAAATCTCTTTCTTTAAAGCCACTAAAGTATATGCAATAAATTGTAACAATAAGCAGATATATCAGCCGTTCATATTTAATCACTGTAATTTTCACCAGACCTGGAGGGCAAAAAGAGGTAATTTGGTATAGACCTGAAGCTTTGGCTTCAAAGAGACCAGGCTTAATGCCAGCTCGCTTACCTGTGGCAGGGTCTTATGCTTGATCTTTCTGAGCCTCTGTTTCCTCAGCTAACTTGTAGATCGGTAATTCTGAGGATTAACTGAAATCATTCATGTAAAACACTTAACACTGTCTCTGGCCATGAGCAAGCATCCAGTCAGTGGCAGCTGCCCTTGTGATTTCTGGCACCAGCATCTACAGTACATATCAGCTGGGAGCGTATTGGAAAGAGCACAGGGTTAGGAGTTGTAAAACTGGGTTCTAGTCCCACCACTGCCCCAGCTAACTCTGGGACCTTGAAGATCACTTGATCTCTGGGCCTCAGTTTTCTCATCTGTAAAGGGCCAAGAAGGGGTGGTCTATTAGGTTTGGTTGAATAAGAAATAACACCAAAAGGTTGCTGAAGAATCTTGGGGGTCAATCTGGGTTTGTATTTCTGCTTCCCCCTGGAAGCTCCAGGAAGCTCATGTGCTGACTCATTGTAAGTGGTGGTGTTCTTCATTACTGTTGCATGTACACAGTTGGGCAACAGGCATTGTCCTTTCTTCCTCTCTTCATTATGTCCTAAGGCTGCTTCCACATTCCTAGTTTTACCAAGATTATAAAATAGCACAAATAAAGTTGGTACAAAGTACATCGAGCAAGCAGCCTATTTTCATACCATCTCTTTAACAAGCTCTAACATTTGGTTGAGAGGAAAGAGCTACTTGCCTGTTCTAGTTCCGAGCTGCTGTCAAATTATATGACCTAGCTAAGAGGCATGAGCACAGATCTAAGCCCTGTGACACACTAGTTATGTGATTCTAAGCGAGACCCCAGGTCAATCTCTACGAAGTGGGAATAACAATGCTATGCTCAGAATATTTGTGACAATTGTGAGATAACGTGTGTGAAAGTCTTTAGGGAATAGATTTTCTTTGTCCTTTTTTTAACCCTTTATCCTGAATCTTCTGTAATTCACCATACTACTATAACTATTAAAATGTGCTCCACAAAAATAAAGTACATTTGGAGAGAAAAAAAGAAGAACATCGGTGTATGACAGTATAGTTTTATGAGGGGCAGTCTCTTCACTGACAGCATTGTCATCACCCTTTATGAAATGTGGGCCATTAGCTAGATGTAAAAAGATCTATAAGATTTGTTCAGGTCTAAAGGGATTGTTTTTATTTTATCAAGCCCAGCCCAGTTCTCCTATCGTCAGAATAGATACACTGAAGCTATTCTCCTGCTCTTTTTTAATAGATATAAGTTGCACCACTGAATTGCTACTGGGTCTCAAGTTCAACCCCATTGTATTTCTTTTTCCTATTAATAAGACAATGTTTAACATTTAAAACGTGACATCGTACACACTGGAGAGAAAAAAAAAATGGATGAATGTCCTTCCTACTTAAAAAATTAATCCTCTGAGAAGTGCAGCGTCATCTCGTGTTGGGCTTGGGAGGTTATACCTGGAGGGTCGGAAGGGGCAGTAAAGGGAAAGGGTGAGGTCTGGCAGTTCCGGCAACCCGCGTGATGAGAGACAGCATCTTAGTCTTTCTAGACAGGGATGATGGAGGGCCTCTCAGCCTTCTACTCAGGCCTCTGTGAGTCTCATTCTTTTCTCAGATTTCCTACTCTAGCTTTGCGGTCGCAGTGGATAGCACTGCTCGCGAAGTGAGCCAAGAAATATATTAAAGTATATGTGGCTGTCTCTGAAGCCAGTGCAAGTTGAGTCGCATGGATCTTTTTTCTCTCTTGTGGTAATAAAGCAACTAGAGACCCAGATAATAAATAATGATGGAGGCACAGGCGTGTCTACCTCTGTGGAGACTCACAGCCGGAACACACGGCTTCGTTTCCTGTGCATCGCGGTTGGTGGTTAGCTCTGTATTTTGCATTTCCGTAGAAGACTTCCTACCCCTGGTGCTTTGATGGACTTTATGAAAAGGAAATAAATTCATTTTATGGCAGTTGTTCTTAAACAGTCCAAAAAGTAAGTCTGCTAACATGCCAGCCTGGAAAATGCGGGGCAATCCTCTCTCCCATCGTGGTACAGAGTTCCCATGTTCGTCCCGAGCTCCTTCCCAAGCAGGGTGATGGGACAGGGTTGGAGCGCTGCAGTCGCGATAGGTGCGTGTTGGTTTTTACCAAAGGGAAAATGTTCATTTTTGAATGAAATGCTGACTTAAATTAAGAAATAAAATGTAAGAACTAATTATGAAATAGGTGCCTTAGTTTTTCCAATGGAATAGAACTTTAAAAGATAAAATTATTTTTTCTTAAAGATACGGTAACCTTTTTTCATTTTTAAAACTCTGCCTTTTATTCTTATATAAAAAGAAAACTTTTTATAAAAAATGCCAAGAAACATATGGATATATTAAAATATATTAAATATATATGAAAATATATACATATATCAATCAAAATTCCACTGCTGAAATAAGCTCTGTTAACATTTTGGAGTAGATGGGTTCACTTGTTTCTTCAGATACACACACACACAAATTTAAAGACAAAAATACAGCCTCGTCTACCACACCATCCCCACTCACCTTGCCTACAGTCACAGCCTGCTGCCTAAACACCTGCTGTTTCTCCTCTGTACTCCCTGTCATTCATTCATTCTGTACTCAGCAACCACATGTCAGGGTCACCCCCCTCCCTTGCTTACACCCTCCAGTGGCATAGAATAAAATCCAAACTCCCCAAGGACTTCGAGGTCGTGGCCCTGGTCTGGCCTCTCACTCCTACTTCAACACGCACACTCTCCCCCGACTCATGACAGTCACTGGCCTCCTTCTAGCTGTTCCCCAAACATGCCAAACTCAATTCTGCCCCAAGACTTAGGGACTTGCTGCCTGGAACCCTTTTTTGCTGTTTGTTCACGTGGTTGACTCTTTATCTTCCCCAAGGACTCAGCTTAGACACGATTTCCTCAGAAAGGCCCACCAGGCTTCTGCCCCCAGGGCACCTGTCACTCGGTCACACTTTATTTCCTTAATAGGACTTATCTCAATTCAGTCATCATGTTTA